GGCAAATAATATATGTCTCTTTCTGGCTATATGAGAGAAATTTGTGCCAAACACTCATCAGGGTGTTCAGAATGAGTGCTAAAATAGGAAAATAGAGGATAGAAAGACTCCAATTTTCAGTTATAACTAAATACCCATCTGTAATTCAAAGTTGAATTTAATTTTCTTGAAGTCACGTTACCTAAGTGTTGTTTTGATTATAGCCAGACACAAAATGAAGGCCACCCAAATGGTTTTGTTCTTGGTGTTGGACACGTCATAAAAGGCCTAGACATTGCTATGATGGATATGTGCCCTGGAGAAAAGCGAAAAGTGATTTACCCCCTTCCTTCGCTTATGGAAAAGAAGGCTATGGTAAGGTGTTTTTAAATTTCTTCTAAGTTATATTTAAAAATCGTTAGACTTTTGGGTATACATTTAAAAGAATTGAAAGCAGGTCTTAAAGATTTAGATGTACACCCAGCTTGACAGAAACATTATTCATAGTTGCCAAAGGTAGAAATAATCTGTGTCCATTGACAGATGAATGTATAAACAAAATATGGTATAGACATAGAGTGGAACATTATTCAGCCTTAGAAAGACAGGAAATTCTGAAATGCTACAACATGGGTGAGCCCTGAATACATTATGCTGAGTGAAATAACCCAGTCATAAAAAAGAAATTCTGTATGATTCAACTTAAGGTTACATACAATAGTCAAACTCATAGAGGCAGAAAGAGAAGGTTGTTTGCCAGAGCCTAGGAGGAGGGTAAAATAGGGAGTTGTGGTTTAATGGGTATAGTTTCCACTTTGCAAGATGACAGAGTTCTGGAGATTGGTTGTACGATAGTTTGAACAATACACTTAAAATGGTTACAATGGTAAAGTTTATGTTATGTGTATTTTCGCAGAATTAAACTTTAAATTACTCAAAAAAATGAAATATGATAGAGGAATTAATTGCAGAAGTTTAGGGGCCAACAAACTTCAGCTGTATCTAGTCCAGTCCAACTCAGTCACCTCTTTATACTCATGGAGAATGTCAGACATCATTGGGAAAAAGAGTCAGTTCCACATAACTACAGCATTTTAATGTTTTTTTTGCCAGTTACCACAGAACCATAATTTGTATGTCCTATTTTAGTTGTACAGGATCCCAGAAGACAGAGAAAATGAAAGATAATTTTAATGCAGTACCTGTGACAATGTTGTCATAGATTGAGGCCAGTTGTAGGCAAAATGATATAAGCAAATTTTCAATCTGTTAAATCTCTTTTTCAAAGTTTCCCTTTGTCTCATGTGTTTTCCCATCAGATATCCCCACATTCTGTCCATTACTGGAACATCCACTGCTTTATCTGCTTAGGATACCCATATCCCTCACCAATAGGTGCTTGTCCTATTGGGTACTTTACTCTAAGGCAAATGCCTACTTAATTTATCCTTTTTATAAACTAATTTATGCTTAAATATGAATGACTAACCAGGTGCCTAAGCTGTTAATAAACCAGACCCTGGCTACAGAGATGTTGAAGTTTAACTTGAGAAGTTCATATTCAATATAAGGTGTCTCCAATAAGCAAAAATGATGAATCCTACTAGGAACAGCACCAACATCTTGTTTTACACTTAAAGAAACTGAGGTTCCCCTGCCAAAGTGTGTTCCTTAGGAAGTATTTAATGCTAACCTACCTGCATTGCAATAGCTTAGATTAGGTTATTTTAAAAGTTGCAGTGTGGGCCATAAGTAACCTAACAAATGACTTCTTGATCAAATACACTTTTTAAAATAAGTTATTAAGGTCTAACATTAACTATAACTTTATTTTAGGTAGGACTTGAAGAAGTCTTTCCTCTGCACAATATCCTTGCCTCATGTCACAGATACCTCTGCATGTCTTGAAATGCATGTGCCTTTTTAGTGCTTTAATTAATGGTAATGTGGTATGTATAGATTCTTTAACTCCTATATACTTGATATGCTTCTCTAAATACAAGTAACTTTATGGAAAAATGCATGTTTTTCTCTTTCTTATTCTTTCTTTTTTTTTGGCAAGAAAAAGACTAATGGGCAATATTTTCTATGTTTATGGTAGAATTGTGCAGAAACTTCCTCTTAAGAAATTTAAATTTGTTATCAGGAAAAGTTTTTTTTCTGTCATAAGATCATGAACTGGAAAGAGTAGGAATGAATTTTGTAAAAGTAATTATTGAATCACTCTCTAGCTCTTTTTACTCTTACTCTAGTAACATGCAATGGTGGTGAGGATTGTCACATTAGTCATATAGTGCATGGGTAGGTTTTTCTATGGCTTTGAAATGACTGATATAGCTCTTTTGGCTGTAATTTTTAAGTTCTTTTCTCTTTGGGTTATATAAACACTTTAACAAGAATTCTGCACTTTTCATTAAAGAAATTACTGTGTTCTCCAAAGGATAAACAACCATTTTTTAAAATAAATGTTAAGTGTCATTCATTCAACAAATATTTGAGTGTCTGTAATGGATCAAGCTCTGTATCAGATTCTGGAAATATACTGGTGACAAAATCTACCCACTGCCTTTTAGCAAGTCATTTCTGCAGGTCATTTTTAGGAAATGGTCATATGAAAAACCCCACTGCTTGCTTGAATCATCTGTGATAGCAGGTAATAGATTTTTTTAAAGAGAACTATTCAACTAATACTTAATTTTCTGTTGTGATGAGAAATTTCTTCATAAAACTGTCATTGGACTATTTTGTTTCCATTGTGCTTAGCTTTTAATGTCTACAAAGAATTTGAAAGGTAAGTATTAACACATTTTATTTACAATTCCAAAAGCTACATAAGGTCATTTTCTAAGAGATTTCTGATCTATACTTTCAAGTTTTTCTGCCCTTGCATTTCTTCTCTGCACCTGCTCTATCCTGTATAATGATGGGGCATATTAATAAATAATGCACAATTTAAATTTATTTTTATTTAATCAGGAAATGATAATCACCTAGGTTCTTTGAACTGACTTCATTTGAAAACATGGGAAAAATTGATTTAAAAGTATTAGAAAGCAAATTTTAAAAACATGAAATTATGCAATCATGCTATTATAGCTATGTATAAATGAATATTTGAACATTATTGTCATATAAGTTAAACTGTTAAAATTTATATTCTTAGCAGAAGGCAAGATTCCACCGGATGTAACATTGGTTTTTGAGATCGAACTTTATGTTGTAACCAAAGGACCACGAAGCATTGAAACGTTTAAACAGATAGACACTGACAATGGCAGGCAACTCTCTAAAACTGAGGTAATTTAAACAAATTGTGTGTATCTAAATTTCCCGTCACAATCTAACTGCATCTTTGTTATAACTATTATTTTTTAGATCTGCCTCATGTGGGCTGATTACTTTGCTTTTTTTATTTTTTTATTTATGCATACAAGAATTGGGGTACACACCAGAAGTATGGGGGTGAGAGGATTCACCAGAGACAGAGTGGGGAGCAGAACAGGCAGATCTACTGAAGTACACTGCTGAGGGGAGCAGCGGGCGAGTCAGGAGAGATCTGCTGCACCATGTGGGTAGCTTCCTGGCCAGGGATCAAACTTCTGCTGCAGTGGCTGCAGATTGCTTCAGAGATTGCGTCTTAACCCTTGCGCCACCAGGAAGGCTCTGATCACTTTGCTTTTATGGAGCTAGCTACTAAAAACTTTAAGCTCTATAAAAACACATGCATTTTCAATATAAAACACCACCAAATCATCCTGTTTAATTGCCTTGCTATTGCAAGAGGATCATTAAAACACCAAACTAATCTCTATAGGGCATTTCCATCTCTTAAATTATAAGAGCATCAGATCTCTTTTAAGCAGCACTATAGGAATTTATATTATGGCAAATAATTCCCATCTGGATTGTGAGAATACATGAAATTATGAAGAAATCTAGCAAGAACCTGAATTATTAGACTAGAAAGTTAGTAAACAGGTGTTTAGAATTCAGCTACCTAGCCTTCACATACCAGTTAATTTTATATATGATTGAGGGCTTAATGGAGAACTTGAATGATAATAAAATGTTTTGCCCATGTTCTCAGTAACAGGTACTATTATAAGCACATTTGTGTGTGAACCGATTTAATCTTCATGACAGTATATGAAGTAGACACTATTGTCATCTTCATTTTATAGAAGGGGGAAATAATAATGTCCAGACAGATTAAGTAACTAGCCTAAGGCCACACATCTCTAAAAGGCAAAACCAGATTGCAACCCCAGCAATCTGACTCCACTATTATTCTCTTAACTATGGACCAAACTTGGCTCTTACAGGGAATTTCCATCATGAATGCGTCAGGGCTAATGTTTGTTTTGTTGAAATTTAGTATCTTACCCAGTCCCAATGACTGTACACTTTTGCTTAAATTGAGTTAGCCCAGTTATCTCCACTCTTGCTTGAAGACAATTAAACATGTATAATTCTCTCACCTAAATAAGTAAAGATAGGCAACTGAATCACTACTTTCAAGTGATAATAGGAAGCCCCTTTTCTCTGTTTCTTTCCCCCCTCCCTCTACAATCCTTCCCCATCCTAATTCTGCTCCTTTTTCAAGAAATTATTAAGGGCTTTCCCTTGAAGCTCTGCTAGTCAGCTGATGGAGAAATAAAGGAATGCGAACATCCCCTGTTTCTTAAGGGCAGTTATGTACTTTCTGTTGGCTCCTGATCAACCTGTAGAGTGAACAGTAGATGAATTCATATAGCACCCAAGTCTCACTCTGTGCACAGAAACCATCCAAAATTACTTGCACAGCAAGAAGTGTATACTGCAGTGAGACTGGTTTCCACTAGACCTTAGGTGATCTTCTGTTCTTTTCTGGAAAATGAAACTAAAGAAAGTCAAAAATAGTGACCTGCTTAGCTACAGTTTGCCGAGATATTTCTCAGGTTATCAGGTGTAACTGCATTTTCACTAAATGGATAGTGAATTTTTGTGCATGCCTGAATAATAAAAAAAAAAATATCTTTTATCGACACCCACAAACATTAATCCTCACATCAATCCTACAGTATAGATATATTTCCCTCCTTTTATAGGTGACAAATCTAAGATTCAGAGAGGTTAATTTATTAATTGAAGACCACACAGCCATTACATGGCAAGGCCTGGATTGAAAACATGAACTAAAAGAAACACTTTACTTCCTTATCAGAAGAATTAGTCAGCTATTTCTTCAGGATAAGTAAGGTGGGGAGAAGTATTTATTTTCTTAATGGCTATGTGGAAATAGGATCCAATACTAGCAAATTTAAGGTCACGTTCTTTCCCACTGCTTTTTTTACCTCTTCACTAGAGTGTACTAGAAAATTACATTTTGAGAGCCAGCAATATTGGTTATGAAAAGGTAATTTACTTACTTAGGAAGTGAGGAATATTTGAGACTAAAATCTTTACATTTACATAAGATAGTTAAGTTGAAAGAAAAAAAAATACATCTCCCTTTTCTAGAACAGTTGATATATTTGTTAAGATTCATTGATCATGCTACAATAAAATCAGCTTGTGATGGACTAAGTTTGGGATATGTATTGTTCAAAACTGCTCAGGGTTCAACTTTAGCCTTTAAAAATATTCTTGCCCCTAAAATGCCGTAGCCTTGCCAAACATTTTCTCTAGATAATTGTGCTTTGCTCTCTTAGTTATTAAATAGATTAGCACTTAACAATGGAATTATGATTGAATCCCATATATAATTTGAAAATTTTTAGTAGTCACACTTTAAAAAAAGCAAGTGAAATTTTTGTGATCTATTTCATTTAATTCAATATATCTAAAATATTACCATTTCAACATGAAATCACTATAAACATTACCATAGGAAACTTTATTATCTTCCAATTTGTTATGTATAGTAAACTAAAAGTAGCGTATCTCACTTCACTCTGCCCTCATTTCACATGTTTAGTAATCATGTGTAGCTAGTAGCTACTATGTCAGGTAGTACTTAGAGTGTCTTTGTGTAGAGAAATGTCTTATTATATAGAGAAAGCAAGATACCTGTTCTGTATTTGACACTATTATTAGTTTGTCATAGTTATGTATATTTGGGAGAGCTATAAAAACATAGGGGACTTAAAAATTTGAATTTGATTTCAAAATGTATGATAGGTTTTATTGATTATGCATGTAAAAGTATTCATTATTTTTTTAATTTAAATAATAAATTTTATTTTTATATTCCCCCATACAATTGCAAACGCCCCATTCTGACCCCAATCCCTCCCTCCCGCCCCCACCTCCCAAAAAGTGTCTCTGGTTCATAGTTTTTTGTTGATTTTGATTTTCACTTTCTTATATTCATTTTCCTGGTCCCTTATTTAAGTTTTCTAGATTCCTGCTATGAGTGAGACCATCCGGTATTTTTCTTTTTCTTTTTGGCTTATTTCGCTGAGCATGATCCCTTCCAGCGCCATCCATGTTGCTGCGAATTGCATGTGTTTATCTTTTTTGAATGCTGAGTAATATTCCATGGTATATATGTACCACATCTTCTTGATCCAGTCATCTATTTTTGGGCATTTGGGCTGTTTCCAAAGCTTAGCTATTGTAAATAGTGCTGATATAAACATAGGGGTGCAGGTGTTCTTTGGAATGGATGTTTCTGTGTCCTTTGGGTAAATACCTAGGAGTGGAATTGCTGGATCATATGGAAGCTCTATGTTTAGTAGGTCCAGAAATCTCCACACAGCTCTCCATAGTGGTTGGACCAGTTTGCACTCCCACCAACAGTGCAGAATTGTTCCTTTTTTCTCCACACCCTCGCCAACATTTGTTGTTGTTAGTTTTTTTAATATGTGCCATTCTCACTGGTGTGAGATGCTATCTCATGGTAGTTTTGATTTGCATTTCCCTGATTACAAGTGATGTTGAACATTTTTTCATATGTCTGTTGGCCATTTGCATTTCCTCTTCAGAGAAGTTTCTTTTTAGCTCTTCTGCCCATTTTTTGACTGGATTATTTTCTTTGTTGTTGCTGAGTCTCATCAGCTCTTTGCAGATTTTTGTGATCAGTCCTTTATCATTAGTGTTGGGTGCAAAAATGTTCTCCCAGTTGGTGGGGTTTCTCTTTGTTTTTGTTATTGTCTCTTTTGCTGTGCAGAAGCTCTTTAATTTGATGTAGTCCCAGCTGTTTATCTTTGCCTTCACTATCACTGCTTTGGGTGATGTGTCTGTAAAGATGTCTTTGATGTGCAAATCCCGTAGTGTTTCGCCTATATTTCCTTCTATGTATTTTATGGTTTCAGGTCTTATGTCTAGTTCTTTAATCCATTTTGAGTTGATTTTTGTGTATGGTGTGAGGTAGTGGTCAAGCTTCATTCTTTTGCATGTAGTGACCCAGTTTTCCCAGCACCATTTATTGAACAAACTTTCTTTGCTCCAATGCATAGTCTTTGCTCCTTTGTCAAAGATTTGTTGACCATAAATCTGTGGGTTTATTTCTGGATTTTCTATTCGATTCCATTGGTCTGTATGTCTGTTCTTGTTCCAATACCATGCAGTTTTGATGATTATGGCTTTGTAGTATAGTTTGAAGTCTGGGAGTGTGATGCCTCCATTTCCTTCTTTTTTTTTCAGTAGAGCTTTGGCTATTCGGGGTTTTTGGTGATTCCATATGAATTTCATCAATAATTGTTCTATTTCTTTGAAGAATGACATTGAAATTTTGATTGGAATAGCATTGAATCTGTATATTGCTTTTGTAGGATGGCTATTTTAATATTGTTTATTCTTCCAATCCATGAGCAGGGTATGTCTTTCCATTTCTTTGTGTCTTCTTCTATTTCTTTTAACAGTGTTTTATAGTTTTCTTTGTATAGGTCCTTTACCTCTTTTGTTAGATGTATTCCCAAATATTTGATTTTTTTTTGTTTCGATAATAAAAGGGATTTTTTTTAATTTCTTCTTCTTCAGATTTATTGTTTGTGTATAGGAAGGCTACTGACTTTTGCGTGTTGATTTTGTATCCTGCCACTTTACTGAATTGATTGATGAGTTGAATTAGTTTTTCTGTGGAGATTTTGGGGTTCTCTATGTATATTATCATATCATCTGCAAATAGTGATAGTTTGACTTCTTCTTTTCCTATTTGGATTCCTTGGATGTCTTTCTCTTGTCTTATTGCTCTGGCTAGGACTTCCAGGATTATATTGAAAAGCAGTGGTGAGAGTGGACATCCTTGTCTTGTTCCAGATCTTAATGGAATTGCTTTTAGCTTTTCACCATTGAGAATGATACTGGCTGTTGGCTTGTCATAAATGGCCTTTATGATGTTGAGGTATGTTCCTTGTATCCCAAGAATTTCAAGGGCTTTTATCATGAATGGGTGTTACACTTTGTCAAAAGCTTTCTCAGCATCTGATGATATTATCATATGGTTTTTATATTTCTTTTTGTTGATGTGTTGGATAACGTTGATTGATTTTCGGATATTAAACCATCCTTGTGTCCCTGGAATGAATCCGACTTGGTCGTGGTGAATTATCTTATGGATACATTGTTGGATTCTGATAGCTAAAATTTTATTGAGGATTTTTGCATCAGTGTTCATTAGGGAGATTGGCCTGTAGTTTTCCTTTTTTGTGTTGTCCTTATTCGGTTTTGGTATTAGTGTAATATTGGCTTCATAGAATGTGTTTGGTATTGTCCCTTCCTTCTCAATTTTTTGGAAGAGTTTGTGAAGGATAGGCACTAATTCGTCTCTGAATGTTTGGTAGAATTCATTTGTAAATCCATCAGGTCCTGGGCTTTTGTTTTTGGGGAGGTTTTTGATTACCATTTCAATTTCGCTGCTTGTAATTGGTCTGTTTAGGTGTTCTAGTTCTTCTTTATCTAGCTTTGGGTGATTGTAGAGTTGTAGGAATTTGTCCATCTCCTCTAGATTGTTGAACTTGTTTCCATATAACTGTTCATAGTAGTTACTGATTATTCTTTTGATTTCTGCTGTGTCCGTTGTGATTTCTCCTCTTTCATTTATGATCCTGTTTATTTGTGCTTTCTCCCTTTTTTCCTTTGTGAGCCTGGCTAGGGGTTTGTCCATTTTATTTATTTTTTCAAAGAACCAGATCTTGGTTTCATTGATCTTTTGGATTGTTTTTTAGTTTCAATTTCATTTATTTCTGCTTTGGTTTTTATAATTTCTTTTCTTCTACTGGTTTTGGGGTTTTTTTGTTGTTCTTTTTCTAGATCTTTGATCTTCGAGATTAGGTTGTTTCTTTGAGTTCTTTCTTGTTTTTTGATGTGAGCTTCTATTGCTATATATTTTCCTCTTATTACTGCTTTTGCTGCATCCCATACATTTAGGATATTGGTGTCCTCCTTGTCATTCAATTCAAAGAATTTTTTAATTTCTTTTTTGATCTCCTCGTTAGTCCAGTGGTCTTCCAGTAGTGTGGTTTTTAATCTCCATGAGGTAAGATAGTTCCTTGCCTTCTTTTTATGGTTTATTTCTAGTTTGATGCCTTCGTGGTCAGAAAAGATGGTCGGTATGATTTCAATTTGGTGTATCTGTTGATGTTTGTCTTGTGCCCCAGTATGTGATCGATCCTGGAGAATGATCCGTGTGCACTTGAGAAAAATGTGTACTCCGTTTTTTTGGGGTTTAGTGTTCTATAGATGTCTGTTAAGCCCAAATGCTCTAGGTCCTTATTTAGAGCTTTAGTTTCTTTACTTATTTTTTGTCTTGTTGATCTATCCATTGTTGATAGTGGTGTGTTGAAGTATCCCACTACGTATGTGTTTTCTCTGATGTCTGTTTTCAGAGAGGACAACAGTTGACTGATATATTTTGGTGCTCCTTCATTTGGTGAGTATATGTTAACGAGTGTTATTTCTTCTTGAAGTTTTGTCCCCTTGATCATAATGTAGTGACCATTGGGGTCTCTTTTTATTTTTTTGAGTTTGAAGTCTGTTTTATCTGATATAAGTATAGCTGTTCCTGCTTTCTTTTTTGGTCCATTTGCTTGTAGGATTGTTTTCCATCCTTTAACTTTGAGCCTATTTTTATCTTTTGTAGTTAAATGTGTTTCCTGGAGACAGCAAAACGTTGGGTTTTGTTTCTTAATCCAGGCTGCAACTCTGTGTCTTTTTATTGAAGAGTTTAGTCCATTTGCATTTAGAGTTAATATTGATATGTTTGCATCTGTATTTGCCATTGTGTTTGTCTTTCCTTTGATTTTATTTATTAATTCTTGTAATAACTTTTTTTTTGGTCTTATTTCGTTGTTATTTGTCCCTCTGACGTTCTGGCTTTAGGATTCCTTGTAGTATTTTTTGGAGTGGGGGTTTAGTCGTAATGAAATTCCGGAGTTTCTGTTTGTCTGGGAAGATCCTTATTCTTCCTTCTTAGAGGAAGGAGAGCTTTGCAGGATAGAGTATTCTTGGTTGGCATCTGTTTTCTTGGAGTCTGTTGACTATGTCCCTCCACTCTCTCCTTGCCCATAGTGTTTCTTCAGAGAAGTCCGATGTCAGCCTGATTGGTTTTCCTTTGAATGTTATCTGTTTCTTCCCTCTTGTCAGCTTCATTATTTTTTCCTTGTCCTGGATTCTTGGGAGCTTTACTATTATGTGTCTTGCTGTATTTTTCCTTTCGTTGTGGAAGTTTGGTGTTCTTCTTGCTTCTTGTATATCAATTTTCAGCTCCTTCTTCGCATTTGGGAAGTTCTCTTCAATTATCTCCTGGAATATTTTCTCTGTTCCTACATGTCTCTCCTCTCCTTCTGGAATTCCTACAACTCTTATATTTCCTTTCCTCATGGAGTCAGATAGTTCCCGAAGTCTTTCTTCATTCTTTTTCCTTCATACTTCTCTTTCCTTTTCTGTTTTGGTTCTTTTTATTTCTGTGTCTTCAAAAGTACTTATTCGTTCTTCCATTTCATCTATTCTGCTTTCATTGCTTTTCCCAGAGTACTTTAGTTCCTCCATTAATTCTTTGATCTCCTGCATTTCTTTTACTTCCCTCTTTAGGGACTCAATTTCCTTCTTCTGATCATTGTTTTCCTTTATGACTTCTATCACTTTTTTAATCATGGCAATTTTAAATTCTCTTTCTTGAAGGCTCAGAAGTTCTTCCAAGTTGCTGTCGTTGCAATCTGGGGAGTGGTTTTCTTTTTGTTGTGTGCTTCTTTCCTGAGGAGTTGTTAGGTTGCATGTTGTTCTTCTACTCCCTACTGTCTGTTTTCTAATTTGTCGTATGCATTGGGACACTGTGTTGCTCGGACTGGCTGGCATCTTGGGTGAACTTCTCCGCTCCCCTCTGGCTCCTCCAGGAGCCATCTCTTGCTTCTGGGGGAGCTTTCTGCTGGTTTTAGGCAGTTTTTACTGAAGAAATGTCCCGGTTCTAAAATGGCGAAGCGGGATGCAGTCCCTTAGCCTCCGGTTTCAGGCACACACTTCTGCGCACCCGGTCTGCCACGGACGTGGGTGCCTGCTCCCTCTGTGGGCTCAGACTGCTGGTCGGAAGGGGCCTGGCGTGGGCTAACTTCCCAGCTGGCCACTGGGTCCTCCAGAAGCCTTCTGCCCTTTTCAAGAAGTCTTTTCTTAAGAAGTTTCCCTGTTCTATGGGGTGTTAGTGACTTTTTTTTTCTGGTCGCTAGGTGGCGCCAGAGATCTCTCCTATTGTCCTTGGGGGGCTGTTTTTCGACCCCCCCCCGTGGGACAGGGAGCAGAGCGAGAATGGTAGGGTAAACCTCAACGGCTTTGGGGTGCTGTGTCTGCCTTGTGCCCCACCGTCGTGGAGAACCCACGCCCCAAATTTTGTGCCCCGGGTCTCAGTTCCAAAGCCCTCAGTTCCAGGACGCGGGCTGTAGCCCAGTTCAGTGGCGCGGGAATGGCGCCTTTTGCACCCGCTCCGGTGCCTGGGCGCCTGGTTCCTGCTCACTCAGTGAGGGACTTTAACATCAGTGAGGAGGGCCTCCGCGTGTCTCCCCACAAGCCTAGGTCGCAGGCGCGGGGACCTGGGCAGCCACGATCCTGATCTGCGTTTGCTTTTCAAGCGCGCCAAGTGCGCCGCTTTTCCGTGCAAGCTTACCGGCAGTGTGGGCTGTGTGCGGATCTCCCAGGGTCTTTGTTCTTCTCTAATGGCGCCCGGAGCCGTTAGCTCACCGCCGCGGCGAATCCTGCAGAGTTCTCCGCAGCTCCCGTTCACAGGGTGTGGTGGCTGCAATAGTTCCTTTCCACTCCCAGTCCCCCTTGCTGCGTAGTTTGTTCTTGTTGGTCGTTTTGGTTTGTTGTTTTCCTCCTCTCTGCCAGTCGGAGAGTGCCGACCCTGTGGGCAGGGGAGGGGAGCAGGGTTCTGCGCTTCCCTCCCTTCTAGTCCTCTTTTATGGCAACTTTCTTCTTCGGGTAGTTTGCTGGAGTCGTCTGTTTATCTTCCGTGTCCCAGTTCTCACTGGGACCTGCTGCTTTTCCTCCCTATTAACTTTTTTTAATGGGAGATCTTACTCACAGCGTCTCCTCGCCGCCATGTTGCTCCGCCCCTCTGGAATTTATTTTTCTCATTATTTTTATAGATTATAAATACCAGTTTGGATTTTATTTACTAATGGAAATCCTTGAGAGTGATTTTCCTTTGATAATGTAGGCAATGTAGACATTCAGTTTCAGCAAAATTCAATTGAAATGTAATCTTTGTGTTTGTACACTAAACATCTATAATCTCTGGAAAGCTAAAGTGAAATGTTTCTCTACAGAAAATTGCTTCAGTTATGAAAATAAAACCTCAAATATCTTTTAAACTTTTTGTATCAATTTCAAATATAAGTCTTATAAATATAAGACTTTCAGATATGTCTTTATGTAAACATTCCTCAAAGTCATTAGGAGTGTACCAGCATGTCTCTTTATTAAGAAATACTATTTTGACCCTCTAGATAAATCAGTACTTGGAAAGGGAATTTGAAAAAGATGAGAAGCCACGTGACAAGTCATACCAGAATGCAGTTTTAGAAGATATTTTTAAGAAGAATGACCATGATGGTGATGGCTTCATTTCTTCCAAGGAATACAATGTATATCAACATGATGAACTATAGTTTATTTTTCTATCAGAATTTCTCTACTGTGCTTTATAAAATGAAGTCACTTTTCTCCAAGATGTATTTTCTATTTTTCACCCATGAGAATATATTTGGAGACCTCCTTTACATGTAATTATGTTATAATAAATGTGAGACTGTTTTGCAAGTTTAACTTTGAGGAAACGTTCTATTGAATTTCCTATTGCTTTATTGACTTCTGTGTCCCAGTGGGCAGTTTTCCCCCTTTGGAACATATATGGCAAAATCTACAAGCAATTCCTAATTCTAACCTTAACAGCATAAAATAAGTATGCATATGTCCCATTTATGTTAAAATGCCCCAGGAATTAACATTTCATTTGCTTATACATTTCATAGTTTATGCACTCAGTAAGATGTTAGTATAGCGCTGTCCCAAAGAGAGCTTCGACATACTCTCTGGTATTTTTGGTACAGTTTTCTGGCTTTTGGGTATTTGTACCAATGAAGAATGTTTAAACATATTTAACAGACTAAAGATGTTCTGCCTCTTAAAGCAGGCATGATAAAGTCTATATTGTTCTGAGTCTTGTATTCCTTCAGACATCAATATAGACTTTTTGTCTTAATTGTTTTAAATCAATGCCACAGTGGTTTCCAGTCCCCTTCTCTAGGCGTCACCTTTCTGTGTCACTTCATATCACAGTGTTATTATTAATGATGAGCATTATAAGCTGGTGTGCTGTCAAATATTTGATAAATGGGTGGAAGACTCAATGAAATGAAATGAAATGTCGGGGCCCCACGTTCGGGCGCCACCTGCCGCGGACCAGCGGACCAGCACAGCAGTAGACGATGAGGCCACCTCAGGGTTGAGAGAAGCGTGCAGGGTGGTCAGGGCGTCTGCGAAAGAAATGACAAACAGACACACTTCAAGAGTGAAAATCTGAGTGTAATTTTCCTTGAGTTTGTGACCAGTATATATATGTTTTCCAAAAGCACAGGAATGAATATCAAAGAAATTAGCTTGCCCATGGGCTCAGTCTATCACCATCAGGGAGGTAATCTACATAACAAACAATGACCATTATAGAAGAAAGAAGGAAGTTTAGAAAGACAGATAAGGGATTAAAGTTCGTAGTTCTAGAAAGACGGGATAAGATTTTTAGCATTCTTGTAGTGGTTCTTGGTGGTCTTATCTTTTGATAAGCTTCTGCCTTTTCAGGGAACTTCTGCTGCACTTCCTCTGCTTCAGGCTGTTCTCCCCCCACACGCTGGTTGCCCAGCCGGATCTAGGGACCATGGCGAAAGCCATTCCTAAAGATCACTGCGGGGGGAGTTGCAGCAGGTAGGGTTTTGCTGTTCTCCCCTGCGCACTGGTTGCCCAGCCGGACCTAGGGACGGTTAACCCTAAAGGTCACTGCAGGGGGAGGATATCAAATGAGGATATCAAATGAGAATACAAATGAGGACATAGAGTGCTGTGGGGATTTTGTGACATGGTCAAGTTAAGAAGAGGAGGTAAGATATGCTATAGAAGATTTCATTGGTGCCAAAGAAAGTGTACATCTTTATTGAGACATGAAAGATTTTTTCTTCTGTGTATGTAGGAAAATATGGTCAGGCAGTAAATACCTATAGATTTACTGTAATTATAGATTTTGGATTTTATAAACTATTTTTGCTGTGATTTTAACAAGAATATATGGTAGATAAATAATTTAGGTTAAGAAACTGGTAAAGGAAAAATTCAGATGTCTCACACAATAGATGGGGAAAAAAAACTCTGAGAATTAAATGTTTTAAATATTTTCAAAGGAGAAAGAAATAAGTGTGTCCTAGATGCCTCAACTTTAAAATGACAGCAGTGAGTTTGTATGAAGACAAACCCAGCAAGCATATGTACACCACATAATGGCAGCCCATTACTACTATCAATCACCCTGTTAACTGTGTACATAAAACCCCAAACTGTGCTCAGTGTGCTTTTAATTTGATACTACAATTAAACATTTAAGATTGCATTAAATTATTAACACATTTTCCTCATTTTACCAGACATGGGGCAATAGTTAAACCATAAAGTCACCATTAGTGCACGCTTGTCATCCTTAAATGTTGAATTAAATGCAGATTACAAATAATATTTAGAAAAATCTATGTAAAAAGCTATCTAAAACAATAGACTAAATCTTAAAAAAACATTTCTCAAGTGACCAGCAGGTGTTATGAAGGAACACCTTCATATTCTGAATTCTATACTTAAACCTTTTTAAACATAAATAATAACATTAAACTTCATAACAATTTATGAGGTAGGCACAATTATCATCTCCATTTTATAGATGGGAAAATGATGCCCAGACATGTTAGTTTTTCTTTCTCCTTCAATTTGCTGCAATTCACCAAAGCAACCCTAGAGAATTTTGGAAAGGTATGTAGCATAGTTGCACCCAAATAGCAACTGGTATACTTTTCATTTTATTTCATTCTCTTGTGCCAAACATCAAAACAAGGAACTGCATGAAATCTCACATACTTCTGCCCATCAACAGAGCACTGAAAGCACCCATAAACTGTCTCCCTTTTTAAGTTCCCCATTCCACGAAGTATGCAAGGCCCTTTTGGGATATTGTGATTAAGTAAATTAACTCGAATATGAGTCCCTTCTTTGAAATATCAGTCATGCTGAGAGGTTTGTCATAGTAGTCAGAAAAAAGATCATCTAAGTAAAGCTGTGAACGAGAAATGGCATCCATCACTTTTCTGTCTAAAAGAACAAAAACAGAGAAATGTGTCAGAAATCAAAATTAAAAAGGTTATCACCAAACTGTATTTATAAATACATGAATCCATCATGAAATGATTTAGCTTTTAATTTTAAATTCTTGACAGCATTCTTGAATCCGAGAAGAAAAAAAAATACTTTGAAATAGTCTTCAAAGGACATACTTCTTTCAAATAGTATATTTCTCAATCTGTAGAGCAGTGCATATGTTGCTGTTTCCTCCCTTTCAAATCCTCCTTTTGACACTGAAGTGACACAAAGTTCTATAAAAAATGATAGAAGATATTATTACTTGAGCAACAATTTGTTGAAAATTTTGGTTACAGACAATGAATTCTGGTACATGCCATTTGTTTTAAGTTAAATTTTACATGTTTTTGGAGAAGATAATATTGACACATTACAAAATCCAAATACAATAAAAAGGGGATACTATGACAAATGAGGTCATAGTATACCCTGGCCCCAACCTCAGTTTGCCACCCCAGATGGTAACTACCATGACTAAGTTTCTTGTGCATACTTTCAAGATATGCTCCATATCTTTTTGTTAAAAAAAATTTACTTATTTATGCATACAAGAACTGGGGAACAGGCCAGAGGTGTGGGAGGTGAGAGGATCCACCAGATACAGAGCGGGGAACAGAACAGGCAGATAGACTGAAGTACGCTGCTGAGGGCAACATTGGGCAAGGCAGGAGAGGTCTGCTGCACCATGTGGGTAGCTCTCCGGCTGGCTGGGGATCAAACCCACGCTGCAGAGGCTGTGGACAGCTTCACAGCGCTGTGCTTAACCCCTTGTGCCACCAGGGAGGTCCATATCTTTTGCAGCATAAAGGGATATGTATGAATGTATACCAAATTCTTTAGGTCCAAATATTATGTACTGTACACATTTCTTTGAAATATCTCTTAGAGACTCTCCCATGTCAAGATCTATGGTGCTTCCTCATTCTTACTGTCTTCATAGTACTGTCTTCATAGTATTCTGTTGTGTGGATGCACCATTTTTAACCATTTGCTAATAATAGATATTAAGGTTATTTCCTGAGTGTACCTGCAGGATAAATTCCTAAAAGTGTGAGACTACAGTATACATACATGATAAATTTTGATGGATGTATCTATATGTCAGTTTACACTTCTGCCAACAATCAGTACCATGGTAAAAACCTATACCTAAAGTTTTCCAAACAGAATTTCTTTGGCATGTAGTTTTGTTTCTGGACTCCCTAATCCTTCCTTCCACAGAACTGCAGAAGCAAACTAAATGAGGTTTAAAGATGTTTATAAATTACCCTGGCTAGGGGCTCCCTGCATTTTCTTTGGGCTAACCTAGACTTGAGCAACTGGCTTCCTAATCTTAAAGACATGAAATGTGGAAGTCTAAAGCTACACTGAGGTGCTAAGCCAGGTGATGACGTCAGAAGTATTTGTTCTTTTAAAGTTATTTCATAAGGAGAGGTGGGGGAGGGGTGTTCCACAATGAGCAAAACTGAAGAAAATAGGGACAAGAGGATCTTTCCCAGGCACTTCACTCTAGCACAGGATTCTATAATCATTAGAAGAGAGAGCTTGTCATTAAATTCTTCTTAAAAGTAAAATCATTTGAGTGTTTCATGCAATCATTCACTTACCAAAGGCACCATCCAAGTAGATGAAGAGTTCAGAAACACTGAAAGCTATGGTTGTGTGTGCTGGAAAAACAATAGCTTTTTTCCTTCCCTTGGGATTCTGTTCATCCATAAAATGAAACTATATTAAATAAATAATAATATTAATGTACATGTTATATAAGGATAGCTTTGTGGAACAGGAAAAACATTTCCTACTATTCTCCAACCACACACACACAGCCCCTCATTTAAAGAATTATCGTACTTGAATTAAACTGTTTATTAGCAAAGGTACAAATAGTCCCATTGGACTCATAATCTCTGTTAAGAAAAACCTCAACCACTTTATCATTTGCATTGTATTGCAATCAATGATTAGTGCTTCAAACAGTAATACTCTAGCAGTATTTTGCTTTGGACTACAAATCTTGAACTAAAACTTTGGACTTTTGTTTCAAGGCCCCCCAAGCTTTCCAAAGCTTTCTCAAGCAATCTTCAGCTTATTTTCCAAAGCAATCACCAAAAATTAAGGAAAAATTTCAGTTCCTGCCCCCCAAATGATTCAAAGGTAATCAATTTGGTGGGCAGCTGAATGTAGCCACTGAACAGAATCCTTTATTTGCAAAGATTACCGCTGAACTCTCTTTCTAACAATTGGTTTTCATAAAACCAAGTCATTATTATGTGTCACCGAATGACAAGGACAAATAATATAATTGAAATAAAAATTAAATCTCAAAATTTTTTAAAGGATTTAATGCTGAATGAAATATGTTTGGTGATTGACAATATTATTTTTTAAAGACAATATTATTTTAGAAAAATTAATGTAAAAATATAAATTCAACTTTCCAAAATACAGGTATAAACCACATCACTTAAAAATAAAATCAAAGAATTCAACATCACCCTCTGATTTTTGCTTAAAACAGTACTTGAATAGCAATAGAAGGGACTCCAGTATGCACACTAATTCACGAAGATTAGTGTTTTGCTTATATTACATAATATAATATAAATATATAAATAATATATATAAATATATATGTATTTTATATAAATGTTCTTTCATATCTAAAACGAAACCATTTCTGTACAAAATCCTAGATGCTTCTCAATAGTATTACAACTCCATTATCTCAACATTTGACAAAATGCACAACTCTCACTGAAAAGTACTTTTGAAAAATTCCCATTGCAGCTTTTTAGTAAAATAAATTAATGAGTGTGGTTTATGTACCCTCATAGCTTCTCCACGAATTCCAGCATGCACAGACAGTGAGCACTGTCGTGTGGTTCGAATGCTCTCCATGACCACGCATAATACTGCCTTTCTGTTGCTCCTTGACTGACGTATTAAGCTGTGGTCAAAATTAATTTTTCTAAAATAAAGAAAAGAGTCATTCACAAGAATCTATGACATCTAATTACAGTTATAATTAAGTACATATTTGATATAATGTGTTAACTTGGTCATGGTCCATCTTAACTAAAAGTAAATCAAGGCAGGCCTAATACAAATTAGAAAGTATATTCCAAAGACATTTAATAATCTTCCTCTCTATTTCTTAAAAACATGTTTATTATAGGACTTTGCATTCAGCATGTCTGCTGCAGCAGATTCCTATATTCTTTTAATCAAATAATTCAGCAATCAAATAATTCAGCAAATGTATTCAGAGCCAGAGCGATTGTGTGGAATAATTAAAATTTCTGCTTAAACCAAATGATTTTAGACTTCTACCTTTATCCAAAGTTTGGATATAATTTGTAGTATTTCAAACAAATCAAAACAAATTACTCTATTAAATATAACCTGAATGTTTTATTTACAGAGAACATTTCATTCTTTGTAATAAAGTTGATATAATTTATGTAATTAAAATAGTTAATGAAAACATTGGAATACATTAAATACTATTATACTGACCGGGTAGTAATTTCCTTGAGTAATTTGGTACTTCTACTTCATATTTGTTTACTACACCAAATGAAGCTTTTACTGCAAAGGAATCTGATCCAGAAACATTAATCCCAACATCATTGACAATATGGTTGCCTCGCCTTCCATAAAGAGACACATCTCATTCATCTTCATAATTCAGTAATTGATAAGATGAAATACCTTTCAGAAAATGAAATTAATATTTTTAAATGTCTTGAATTTTCTAGTGTAGATCATATAAAATAGCATGTTAATTTACTATGCAAGACTTGATTACCTAAATATTAATGAAAAGATACCACTTCAAACCAAGATCAAAATAGCAAATCAACTAATTTAACAACAAAAATAAATACCTGGAATACTTAAACTAAAATTCACTCAACAACTTTTTAAGCATCAAGATCCACTGGTGGGTTGAAAGAAAAACAAATGTTTAAGAGAAATAATTTGTCAAAATGCCCTCTTATCTCTAACTATCCTGAAAATACATTTCAGTTTACCAATTGTAATAGCTGAATCATAAAAAATAAACACATTATTTTCATATCATTTGACTCAATGAGATAGGTAAGACTAAATGATACCCCTATCTTACAGATGAAGAAATACATCAATTCATATTCTCAGTTCATTTGGCTAATACAATTTATAAAACAACTGAAATAAAACTATACAATGAATTATCTTATAAAATAGGTTTGAAGATTATTCAACCAATAAGATTTAATACTATTTAAATGTTAGGCATTATTAATATTACACTACTATTGTAACAAAAGTTGGTTTTATAAGTGAGATACAATATCACAAACATAAGTAGTGTTTACACAGCTATGTTTAGATTATAACAAAGAGCTGAATGAATAGTTACTACCAAGCAGATATTTAAACTTACCAGTTGAAATTTCTCTGTCTCCTAGAAGAATATCTTTCAGTGTAAAAGGCGTGGAAGTAAATTTATATCTAGGAAGCAGAAAGCACCACTTCTTTTTTACCACCAGACTTAGAGGTTGGTATCTGTTAGCCTCACTGAGACTTGGAACAGGAACTAATCTCCCTCCATCTCCAACTTGGTTGACAAAGCTCTTGGTAGCGGCAGCAAACATATTAATATGGTATCAAAACGTCATCAACTGCAACCCTCAGATAATAAATCCATATTTTCAAAGAAAATTAGGCACAAAACTAAATGTTGATTTTAAATATAATTATACACCTTAAAAGAAAGCATGGTTCCACCAAGTAGTTTACCAGTGTACAATTCACAACACTGCCTCCCTTGCTGCACTCAGGTAATGAATTATAGATGAACGATGTAAAATGATATACTATTGATAAAAAAAAAAAAAACTTCAATTTGGAATTTCAGTCTATAGCACAAAGGTATAAAGAGAAAAGTAATAATTCTAAAATACTACCACTGTCCTTGAGAGTGTCCCTGTTGATAGTGGTTTGCCAGTTTTGAGGGCACAATGCAATTTAGGGATTAATGTTAGCCCTGGACATCATGCTACCTTGGACCTAAGCCCAAAGGGAATTCCTTCTTTAACCAGTCATGCTAATTTTAGCAACAAGAAGTGTGGTTTTGAATACTTCTGATATACAGTTCATTGAACATTTCTTTCATTTTCCTTGTATGAACAAAATTAATGTAAAATGTAATTTCACAGCATTTTTTAAAACTACATGCAGATTTTTAGAAAATACGGAATAAAAGTCAAATTATATATACTGTTTACTATGACTTAGGAGTTTCTTACTCTGAAGCCGATACACAGACATTTCTTTGAGATAGAGTCATGCTTGCATTTATTTTGTTTTTGTTTCATTATCTGACTTACTCAACCTTTAAAGAGAGCTATGTAAGGTTCTGCCTTCTTTTTAATGAATTCTGCGGCTAAAATAGATTTTAGCAAACAAATGTGAGTGATGAAATAGTGTATTGCTATATATAGTTATGTGGTTGTTAATATTTTGAAAGAGTGGTTACATGGTACTTTCAGCAACGTAACAACATCGCCCATAGTAATTAATATGCATACATTTGTAGAGGGAGTAGGAGGAAAAGCATAGACTTAATTCAAGATCCAAATAATGTATTTTTTTTCATTTGCTTTTAAGTACCGGGGTTTAAGTACCATCAGGGTTCGTGAGTAACCATGGTTTTAAATAATGCCCCTAGGTACGCATAGTAGTATTGTGCAATCTCCCAGAACACGAAGAAAGCACAGGAGTCATTTTTACAAGTGGCTCGAGAAGCGACACATCCAATCTCTCTTTCTGATCCCCACCAAAGGGGGTGCATCTCAAACGCCATTACAGCCCGCAACACAGGTGTGTAGACGCATTTCAACGGCAACCGGTCCACAGACAAGCCTTCCTTTACAACCTATCGTGCCTGCCTGGGGTTGGCGGGCCCAGCATTCACCCTGTCGCACAGCCTCAAAGACAATGGACCCAGCTGCCAGGACAGGAGGGGGAACCCCGGACGTCGCCGCGAGTTCCTACAGGCTGGGCTCGTGGAGCAAAGCCCACTGCAGCCTTCAGGGACGACTGTCCCCGGAGCCTCCAACTTCGGAGCCCTAGGAGGCTCTTTAGCAATTTTGCGTTAGGAATCTTTAAATCTTTCTCTTAAGTGACGCAGCCCCCTCCCTAACACCACCATCAGCACCAACAACAAATAAAAATGTGAGGCTCAGTCAGGGCTCACAGATTCATGCCTGCCCTACAAGCCTCTTTGCTGAGGACCAGCCTCCGGCAAAATGTCGTGTCAGGGGTTCCTGAAAGGATGAGACAGCATTGGCAAAAACGAAAGGGCTGAGGGAAAGGGAATGAGGAGACACTGACACTTGGTGAGGTGTTAGTATCTTCTGCCGAGAGACTCAGCAGGTCTTTATTTATTCATTATTAGTAATAATAATAACAAAATACATTATCATGTGTAAAGCATAAACAATTAGTATATTATGTTTCCCATAGACTACTGGCCCCTACAGGTCTCAGCTAGACGGCAGCTTTCAAGGTTAACAGATAATAAACCAAACCTAACATTAAAGCTACTTATTTTTTCATTTAGACAATTATTTAAAACAGTGAAAAACCGCCAGTGCATACCTATCAGCTAAAGCCTAAGCATCAAAGGACTATTCTATTCACATGACCTTCAGCCGGAGACCAGCTGCTGTTCAGCTATCAGAACTTTTTTTTACCTAGAAACTCCTTAACTCAAATAGCTTCATATTAAAAACTTTCCCAAGAAACTTCAAGAGAAAACAAAATAGAAGACCTACTATGATTATTGTATTGTAATGCTTGTCAGGCATGCTCAATAAGTTGTCTTCCATTGTCAAGTAGGCCAAATTGTTTAATAATTAGTTTCTAATTTTCCATGCCATTTACTTGCAATATACTGATGCATATAATATAGTGCCTAATGTACTTTTTTTGGGAAATTTTTTCTTATTTATGACCAAGAACAAAAAGTGAAGGAATGTTAGATTTTCAACCTCACGGTGTGAGGCACAAGGAATCTTCAGCCCCACGGTGTGAGGCCCTTTAGCTTCGGCCCCACGGTGTGAGGCCCTTTGGCTTCGGCCCCACAGTGTGAGGCCCTTTGGGCTTCACTGCTTGCCAGTGTCTTATCTGGCTGGGGCATCAAGGCCTCCTGCAGCACCTCCCCCTTTTTTGTTTTTGGCCATCATTCACATAGTTTGCAACTCAACATGTGTCTTATTGATAGCATGGAAAAGCAATTTAATAAACAATGGGAAGAGTATCAATATAATTATGGTGACAAGCAAAACAACACCTAAAGTAATAAATGATGGGAACCAGGCAGCCTTAGTGGTATAATGTTGCAAGGAAGCCAGGAAGGAAGCAGCAACTTCTGCAGGTGTGGAGGAGGGGGAATGAGCTAAACTATTTGCCTTAATATCTTTCTGCAGAGCAGTAAGGTCCAGGGAAACGTTTGTATTATTCCAAACACCCAGTAAATGATTTTTGACATTATTCCAAGAAACAGAAGAAGAGTTATAAACATGTGGAGTGACACAAATCCATTTGTAATCAGAATGACATTTGGTTGTCAAATGCGTTTTTATGTGTTGAATTTGATTGCCAATATGTAAAAGTGATTCCTCAAGAACATTTAACGAGCTTCAAACTTATTATCAATGTGGTCTTGGATAATCAAAGCGTGTGTGATGTTATGAGACAAATCATTAACATGGGAGGCAGTGTGAACTTGTTGCACGAGAGCAGTAGTAGAAACAGCAACAGAACTAATAATAGCAATAAGTGCCGTAATACCCAGTATAAGTGCTGCTACAAAACTTTTGGAGCGACGCAGTCCCTGTCCCACAAGCTGAAGAGTATACAGTCCAATGTCATCATACCACGGCTGTTGTAAGCTTACAGGGAGCATGACATAAGGAGGTTGATGTAAGATAACAAAAGTAGCTTTAGACAATGAGCCAACAGAGGTAATACAGTTGGTGATAATACAGCCAGTACATTTAACATGAAAAGTATGGTGATAATAAGTAATGGTTAAATGTCCGGGGCCCTCAATGAGGAGGGCATGAGGGGGGCCCACACAAGCCCGCATGGTGACAGCATGAACAGAATGTCCAGGTCAGCGAAAAAGCACAGGTGAAGTGGCGGCAAGGAGGCAAAATAAGTCCGGGTATGCACGGGAACCATTCGAAGTGTTGATGATGTAGGTGGGAGTAATCCATCCCGCTGAATACCATCGAGTGATAGGTTCAAGGGGTGGGATGAGGCGATTTGACCGGTTGTAGATGAACGCGTCCTGCAGAAGAAACCTACAATCCTTGGGGACATTAGTGGCAGATGTAACTGCTCCAAAAACTGAAAAATCATAAATAGAAAGATTAGTTGGTAAGGCTGGTAACGAATTCCTGCAGAGGGAAACCTACAATTATGCCAGGTGGGAAATCTGTGATTTGTGTTAATAATATTCTGGGAATTATCTGAGTTATAAATTGAACAGGCTGGGAGAGTGGAGGATACTGAAACTCGAGCTATGTTTTCATTAGTGCTGCAAGGACCAAGGAGAGATATAAGCAGTACCCATAAATCACGGTTAGGTCCGGAGGAGGAAGGCTTTGAAGTTACTGTCAAAAAATATTTATCATTAATAGGTAGGCAGCCAGGTAGTTGAGACTTCATATGGACAGGATTGGATGTAAAACACATAGGAGGCGAATCCATGTGTCCCTGAAAAGAAAAGTTATTAGTGCTTTTAAATAAAACAAAAGAGTCTGAATCTCCACCTAGTAAATCAGAATAATTAGTGAACACACGGGGTGAGGGAAATCCCCAAGGAGTGGGATGGAGAAAGGGGGGATCTGGGATGTAAGCCCAATAGGAAACAGAAGGCATGAGAGAAGCAGGAGAAGCTGGTGATATGCTGTATGAGAAGATTGCTAGCACAGCAAGGAACATAGTCTCCAGGGTGATGCGTGCATTTTGCTGCATAAGTAGCTGTTCAGAATTAGAGGCCAGATTTTTGAGCAAATTCCAATTGTCATGATAAGACGTCTTACGAACTCGAAGGTGGTGCAGGGAAGAGGACAATCTTCCAACAGGGGATCTGGAGCGATGACATCTTGGAGGAGGTGGGTGGTGTCCCAGAGGGCTGCACCTATGCATCTTGGAGCGTCGGTTGTCTGACGGGGGGCGTGTCGGTGAAGGCTTTTGAGACATGATGTCGGATCAGTCTGTCAGGAATCCAAATCGGGCTGTCCGAATCCTGTGGAAAGATACAAGCATACCCTCTCCCATTTGCTAATAACACATCAGGGCCTTTCCATGTTCTGGAAAGGAGATCTTTCCACATAACTTGAGGTTTGGGGGCCACTTGGTCAGAGTCCCAATGTCTATTAACTGGTGACAATCCTTGAGAATCACGATTTAAATAATTGATGACAAACATTGCATGAGTTAAAATATGATGAGCCGAACTATGTTTAAAATCAGATTGTTGTAGTTTATATATCTGAGACTTTAAAGTCTGGTGGGCTCTTTCAACAATAGCTTGCCCTTGTGGATTATAAGGAATTACTGTAGAATGAGCAATTTGAAATGAAGCACAAAATTTGTTAAAGGCAGAGGATGTATATACAGGAGCATTGTCAGTTTTAATAGTACGAGGTTTGCCTGCGTAGGCAAAACAAAACATTAGGTGTTGAGAGACATCTTCAAAAGCTTCTCCTGTCTGGGCAGTAGCCATAATAACATGATAAAATGTATCTATGGAAACATGGACAAAACTGAGTCTCCCAAAACTAGTAACATCAGTGACATCCATTTGCCAGAGATCATTTGGTCTGAGGCCTCGTGGGTTCACCCCCATCGGAAGTGAAGGGTGAGTGGTGGGGCAAGCCGAGCATTTGCGAACAATTTCTCGGGCTGTTTCTCGAGTCAGATGAAATTGTTTCTGCAATGAAGCGGCATTTTGGTGATGAAGGGCATGATCATTAATTGCCTCCTGTACTGTGAATAGTGCTGCTCGAGTCAACAAATCGGCCAGTTCATTCCCTCCAGCTAGAGGACCTGGTAATTTAGAATGACCACGAATATGGCCAACATACACTCTGGATGTCCTAGATCTTATTAAAGTTTGCAGCTCCAATAGCTGTGGAGCAATGGTAGTCTTAGCATCAGCAATTACAGCAGTCTCAATATCAGGAAATAAACTGGTTACATATTGGGAATCAGTAAGAAGGTTAAATGGCTGATTTTGTAAAATTTTAAATACTGTGAGAACTGCAAATAATTCAGTTTTTTGGGCTGAGGTTTCTGTTGTCTGGATGGACTCTGGTTTGTCATTGATAACAAAAGCAGCTCTACCGTTGGAGGAGCCATCCGTAAACACAAGTGCAGCAGGTTCTGGCAAAGGCACAGCGCTAACAATGGTTGGAAAAATAAAAGCCTGTTTCTTAAAGAAATGAAGCACAGGGTCGGGAGGCAAATGAAACTTTATTTCACCCGAAAAAGATTGCAGGGCTATTTGCCAGTCATTACTTAAACTAAGCAAGTCATTAAGTTGTTCTTTCTTGTAAGGTAAAACAAGAACAGGAAATTCTCGGCCAAAAAGCTCAACGTTCCTATGCCTTCCTTTAACAATTAATGCAGCCACTTGGGAAGCATAGGGACAAACAACCTTCTTTGTAGTAACTGGTAAAGGTAACCATTCCAGTGGCCCCTTTTGCCACAAAACACCTGTTGGTGTGTGTGGGGTGGCCAAAATTATGAACTCCCAAGGCTTAGTATAATCTAGCCACAACAGTTGTTGATTGTTGAGTGCATCATTGACCTTTTGTAAGGCTAGTGTAGCCTCAGGTGTTAATTGTCTAGGGGAGTTAGGATTAGAATCACCTTTTAATACATCAAACAGTGGACGTAAATCAGCAGTGGTTAGCTGCAGATGAGCTCTTATCCAATTTATGTCTCCAAGTAGTTTTTGAAAATCATTTAATGTCTGTAAAGAGTCTGTTCGTAGCTGCAGTTTTTGTGGTGTCACAGTTAAAGAACGAACAATCCTTCCTAAATAATTAATTGGCGGAGAAGTTTGATTTTTTTCTGGTGCCACCACAATTCCATAACTTTGCAGCAAAGCTACCAGATGGGCCAAGGCCTGATTTAACAAGTCCACTTGAGCATTACTTATTAAAATATCATCCATATAATGAACACAGTAAATAGAAGGGTACTCATCCCTAAAGGATGACAAAACCATATCCACAAATTTTTGACATAAAGTAGGACTGTTTTTCATGCCCTGAGGAAGAGCTTTTCATTCATATCGTTGAAATGGCCTTTTTTTTTTTTTATAGAGGCATGCTTTATTTATTTATTTATTTATTTGTTTGTTTTTTGTTTTGTTTATACATGCACTGGGTACAGTCAGAAGCGCGGGAGGGTGAGAGAATTCACCAGAGCCAGAGCGGGGAGCAGAGCAGGCAGAAGGACCGAAGTACACTGTTGAGGGGAGCAGCGGGCGGCAGGAGAGGTCTGCGCGCCACGTGGGATCCTCCTCCAGTGGCCAGGGAGCAGCCGGGGATTGAAATGGCGCCGCAGAGGCCGCGGGCAGCTTCGCAACCCAGCGCTCAACCGCTGCGCCACCGGGGAGGCCCTGAAATGGCCTTTTTAAATTTACTGATGGGACACTAAATGCAAATCTTTTGCAGTCTTGGGGATGTAAAGGGATGGTAAAAAAGCAATCTTGTAAATCAATAACAATAACATGTTCATCTTTAGGGATGGCCACAGGTGATGGCAAACCTGGTTGCAAGCATCCCATATCTTGCATAGTGACATTTATTGCTCTTAAGTCCTGTAACAATCTTCATTTTCCTGATTTCTTTTTTATCACAAATATAGGAGTATTCCATGGGCTGGTAGTAGGGCGAATGTGCCCTTTCATCAGTTGTTCTTGAACCAAAGTTGTTACAGCCTGGATTTTATCCTCTGTCAGGGGCCATTGCTCTACCCATACTGGGTCATCATTTTTCCACACAATTGGGTCGGCTGTAACCTCCGCAATGGCCCTCTTTATAAATTTGATCCATATCCCAGGCCTTGTCGTGGCTCTCTCTGAGCAACCTCAATGGGAAATACTCGGCCCTCCAACCTTCTTCCTAAACCTTGATTTGGGTCAAAGCCCATTTGTAACATTTGAGCGGTTACCTTATCATTGGGGCTAAATAGGAGCACTCCCATTTGAGAGAGTATGTCTCTTCCCACAATGTCATAGGAAGAGATGGGACAACATAAGGTTGAAAAGTCCCGGACACCTCTCCATCATTCCAATTTAAAATTTGAGAACTTTTTGCCACATTTTGTGCTGATCCCAATTCGACCAAAGTAGAAGGCGTAGCCTTTGTGGGCCAGGCATTAGGCCAATCACGCCCTGCTATGCAAGTAACATCAGCACCAGTGTCTAACAATCCTTTAATTGCTTTTCCTTGAATTCTTATAACTTTGGTCGGTCTATTGTCTTTAATTTGTTGGACCCAAAAAGCCATGTCACTGGATTCAAAACTGGAATCACTTTGTGGTTCATTGGATGCAATTTTATTGCCAACTGACACCAGAGGCAGTAAAAGTAATTGAGCGATTTTTTGTCCTGGATGAATTTGTATAGTTTGTATTGGAGGCTCCAGCATAACTTTTATTTTACCAGTAAAATCAGAATTAACAACAACCGGTATTACTTTTATGCCTTGCAGAGACGCAGAACCTTGGCCAAAAACAAGCCCCATTGTACCCGGAGCGGGGGGCCCATACACCCCAGTTGTCAACATTGTGTAAGATTGATCAGAAGTTAATATTGCGGCGGAGGTGGAATGCAAGTCCAAGCCCGCTCCGCCTGTGGTCCTGCGGACGAGATCAGAAATTGTTCGCCGCTCTGGTCGTTTAGGTTCCCAATTATTTGAGGGGCCTGGGTCAGGCCCCTTACCCAGTTTTTTGACTGTGAGATGTTTTTTGAAAAAAACAGTCGGATTGGTGCCCGCAGTAAACTTTTCATTTGGTGGCAACAATGTACCATTGTTATGATATTTAGACCGACAGTCCTTCATCCAATGAAATCCTTTATTACAACACGGGCAGATAGTTTTTGGAAGTATCATTTGAGAAGGAATTTCACTATTATTTGTTGCAACAGGCATGTCAGACTGTTGAGGCAAGGCTGGAGGTGGCATAGAGATTACTTTGTTTGGGCAATTTTTACTATAATGTCCTGGCTGTCCGCAAGAAAAACAATTTCCAAAATTTTTGTTTATTTTCCTTTCCTTCTGTTGATCAAGGGAGGTGAACCATTGGCTGCTGGTCTGTCCCTTTAAGGCAGCCACAATGGCCACACCATGAAGGTACGAGGGTGTCACCTCCGAACAGGTTTGAACATATTTATTAATGTTGCCTGTTTGTACAATGGGTCTTAACAATGCCTGACACGGTGGTGAAGCATTTTCAAAAGCCAGCTGTTTAGTTATAATATGAGCCGCCTCAGCATTAGGTATAGTTTTTTGGACAGCATCCATTAACCATGATAAAAATTTTGATAAGATTCCTCAGGCCCTTGTTTAAAGTTAGCAAGGCCAGAGGTTTTCACTTCACCAGCCGGCAACCGGCTCCATGCAGCAACTGCAGCTTCACGCACGAGATGAAAGACCGGAGGTGGCATACAAATCTGCACATTGTTTTCACACCAATCATCTTGATCCAATACCATTTCAAGCAGAATGTTATTATTTCTCATTCTCGTTTCTTTATCATTATATTTCTTTACCATCCTCCGTGCCTCCTCCTCATAATTTGCCTTCCACAACAAATAATCTCCACCAGACAAACTAGATCTAGCCATCATCTGCCAATCAAGGGGTGTGAGGAAGTGACTGGCCACTGATTCTACGAGTTGCAAGGTATAAGGAGATGTAGCCCCGTAATCGGCAGTTGCTCTTTTCAATTCCTTTAAAAGCTCAAAGGGAAGGGGTTCCCATTGAGGCTGCTCATGGTCATTGTCTACATTGAGCACAGGAAAACATCGAAAGGTAAAATCACCTTTTTCTTTTGCTTGTCTCAATGCACCAGCAAAACCAGCTCTAGACATACAAACCAAATCACCAGACAACATTTGTGGCATTGACCTGGACACAGGCTCTGCGTTTTCAAAGGGGTCTGATTGTATATTTGCAGAACAAGGCTTGAGATCAGTCTTAGCTCTAGCCAAATCACTGATATATCTTTTAACAATCTTAGCCAAGTCCAGGCTGGAAATTAAATCAGATTTAGGAATAGATTCATGAAAAGGAGCCAACGCTTCAGTAGAGAGGTCAACTTTGGCTCTAGAATCAATTTTTGACTTTTGAAAAACAATTTCATCATCCGAAGAATCCGAATCACTTTCTTTAATGCAGCTGGCCAATTTTTGTTTTACTTCTGGTTTTGTATTTTTTGCTTTGCCTCCAGCCTGGCTAAAGCAATCTATTTGTTCAGGCAATTGTTTTGTTAATGACGGGCTGTCAGCCGAGGACCCTTTAATGTCCTCCAAGGATAAGGAAGCAGTAGGCTCATGTAGCCAGCCGTAATTCCCTGAGCTTTTTATCTATCTTTTCTAATTCAGACCCTTGATCTAGCATGTCTTGCAACAGACCCCACAATGAAAAGGCATCAATGGGGACCTTCTCTGGACCATGGAGAGTATAATAGGATGTCATTTCCTCTCCTACTTTGGCCCAAGTTTTGCATCCAGAGTACCGTCCCTTGGAAACCAAGGACAACACATTTCAACAAAATTTAGGAAACTAGCCAATTGTGCATGAGAGGTTTTAAGGCCTCTCTTTGCAAGAGTATACTTAATTATATCAATAAAGAGTCCTCTTTCCTTAGACTCAGTATGGCCCATAGCTTCTCAACGATAAGACACTCACTCGCCTTATCACGCAATAAGACACTCACTCGCCTTATTACGGTTCTGACTTACTGCTCCCCTCAAACCTGCTTTCTCTACAGGCGGGTATGCGCCCTACCCTATGGAGCAGATCCGAGCCGTCCCCGCATGGGAAAGAAATCTTACCTTTCAAGTCCCTGCTCCGGGCGCCACTTGCCGGGGACCAGCCTCCGACAAAACGTCTTGTCAGGGGTTCCTGAAAGGATGAGACGGCCTAGGCGAAAACGAAAGAACTGAAAACTTAAGGGCTGAGGGGAAGGGAATGAGGAGACACCGACACTTGGCGAGGTGTTAGTATCTTCTGCCGAGAGACTCAGCAGGTCTTTATTTATTCATTATTAGTAATAATAATAAGAAAATACATTATCAAGTGTAAAGCATAAACAATTAGTATATTATGTTTCCCATAGACTACTGGCCCCTACAGGTCTCAGCTAGACGGCAGCTCTCAAGGTTAACAGATAATAAACCAAACCTAACATTAAAGCTACTTATTTTTTCATTTAGACAATTATTAAAAACAGTGAATAACCGCCAGTGCATACCTATCAGCTAAAGCCTAAGCATCAAAGGACTATTCTATTCACATGACCTTCAGCTGGAGACCAGCTGCTGTTCAGCTATCAGAACTTTTTTTTACCTAGAAACTCCTTAACTCAAATAGCTTCATATTAAAAACTTTCCCAAGAAACTTCAAGAGAAAACAAAATAGAAGGACCTACTATGATTATTGTATTGTAATGCTTGTCAGGCATGCTCAATAAGTTGTCTTCCATTGTCAAGTAGGCCAAATTGTTTAATAATTAGTTTCTAATTTTCCATGCCGTTTATTTGCAATATACTGATGCATATAATATAGTGCCTAATGTACTTTTTTGGGAAACAAAAGTGAAGGAATGTTAGATCTTCAACCTCACAGTGTGAGGCACAAGGAATCTTTAGCCCCACGGTGTGAGGCCCTTTGGCTTCGGCCCCACGGTGTGAGGCCCTTTGGGCTTCGCTGCTTGCCAGTGTCTTATCTGGCTGGGGCATCAAGGCCTCCTGCAGCACCCCCTGCTAAAGGACACCCCAAAGTGTAGACCCTCCATGCTAGGCCCAGAGCTGGAGGACGCCTGGGGGGACACCAGCACCTCTGTGGCTGGACACCAGCAGGAGGATGCCGGGGAGCACAGCAGCACCTCGGCGTCAGTCCTCCAGCTGGAGGACGCTGGGGAGCACAGCAGCACCTTAGTGTCAGTCCTCTAGCTGGAGGACGCTGGGGAGCACAGCAGCACCACTGAGACAGGCCCCCAGCTGGAGAGGGTCCAGGAAAGCAGGGCCAACACAATCTGTCCAGCTCCCTAGCCCTGCAGCAACATCCTAAGATGTCTCCCAAGACGTGGCTGGCCTTCCAGTGCAGTGGCCCCTTCAGCAATCATCAGGGCCAGAGATAGAGTATTAGAAATTATCCTGGAATTTTGCTGCTGCTGTGCAGCATTGGAACTGGAGAGCAACAAAGATTGAAAATAGTGCCATATGCTGGAAGGGATCATGCTCAGCGAAATAAGCCAGAAAGAAAAAGAAAAATACCAGATGGTCTCACTCATAGCAGGAATCTAGAAAACTTAAATAAGGGACCAGGATAATAAATAACTACAAGAAAAAAAAAAGAAAATAGCGCCATACCTGGCAGAAGACAACCACCCCCAAAGCACTACCACTCAGTGGCCATGGGGAACAGGAGTACACCAGGGAAGGTTGAGGCTCTGGAGATGCCCAGGGGCTGGGCCCAGTCAGAGGGGCCAGGAGCAGCATGAGACTCATAGGACTGCAGCACAGAAGTCTGGGCAGCACAGATGTCCCTGGAGCACAGATGTCCCTGGAGCAGAGCAGGTGAAGGGCCAGGTGGGCAACGAAACTGGTGAAGCACCTGGAGGGGAGAAGAGTGGGAGAGGGGTATGGTGTCGAAGGGTTGGGGAGAGGTGAGCAGGTACAGGACCAGGAGAGGGGTGTGGGGCTGTGTGGGCAGAGCCTCCAGTGGCCCCAGGGCCAGAGGCGGGGAACCTTGGACCTCTCTCACCCATCTTAGGTTCTGCCCCCTTGGTGGGAGAGACCTGCTGCTCACCCCTGGGCACACGGATGGTGCAGAGGATGCAGGAGCTCTTGCAAAGGCTTGGCCCCAGGTGGTAAAACGTGCAGATTGCAAGGAGCAGATAGAGAGGTTCTTTAGCTCCCCTTAAGAAAGACTCGGGGACCAGTATATTAGAATCCAAACGGGACTCTCCAAGGTGGGCAGAGGTTATTCACAGAGCAGCCCTACTCGACCACGACCTGCTCAGCTGGAAAATCCGCACATCTTCCTGCTCCTCGAAGCCTAGGCTATGATCAATCTCAGTCCCCCAGCGAGCACACCTGGGTGTCCAATGTCCCCTGGGCCGAAGCTGCAGCTTGTCATGGAGTACGTGCAGGAGGGATTTTGCAGCTTGGGATTCTTACACAGTGTCAGCCCAGCTGGAATTTCTCCTTTTAAAAATCCTCTCCAGATGGCCACCCACCCCTCCTCCTCCCTGGATTCAAACCCCACAGTGTGACCTTAGCCAAATTGGAAACATTAATATCACCCAACAGATGCAGGCTTGGGACACTAGTCTCTGCCAATTAAATCACTGGGTACAGGAACGAAAAGCTACAGGGGCTATCTACCTTAAATTTGTGTTTTTTCATCATTGTTTAGATGGTGTTCAATTCTCTTCTAAAACTAAGGTTTAGCTAAGTCTGGTAAATGCAAGTGAGGTGAGGTATGTGTGTTTGAAAAAAGAAATGTATGGAAGAGGGATATTCTGAAGGGCCTTAAGATAATGTAAAGCAGGATGAGTAAAATGAAATGGCATAAGAAAGAAAGCAAAATAAAGTGTTGAATGTCTGAGAGGGAGATTTTGGTGAGAATCCGTGTGTTCTCAGGTGTCTCCCCCTCTTTCAACACATTCATGGGCTTGCTCATCTGACCAGCAAAGCCCCCTCTGATCGATACTTTGTCAGCCGAAGCTGGGGCCAGTACAACCAAACGTGGACAAGCTCTCCCTTACTGCCATGGATGCTGCCCCTAGTAGGTCCAGTGATCATGATTAAGCTTTTCTTTGTTTCTACACCCCGTTTTTTCTGCTTTATCCATACAACGCTCTCTGAGATGAGCCTTCTCTCTCCCAGACCCGGGAAAGCCATTCCTATTATGGACAGATGAGCAACAGGGCATTGCTCTAGGGATTCTGGACCAACCTGGGCCAGTCCAGCAAACAGTTGCTTATTTCTCTAAACAAATGGATCCCACTGTAAGAGGATGGCAGCCCTGCCTGCGTGCACTTATGGCAGCTGCTTGTCTCGCTAGACAGCCTTAAAACCCACACTGGGCCAACCTGTAAACGTTAGTTCCTCACCTAGGCTCAAGGACCTGCTCATTCAACAGGCTCTCTCCCCTCCATCACCTTCTTGTCTGTTAGATTCTACTCTCTTTGTCAAAGACCCTCTTATCTCATCTCCCTATCCCAATCCTCGACTCTCCATCCTGCCAGGCCTCACGTTCCACTCCCTAATGCAGATAACACCCTCTTCTTACTATGGTGGACACCATCACCAGTCGGACAATGGACCCACCTTTATCTCAAAGATTACTCCACAGGTCTCCTCCCTGGGCATCACATGGAAACTATACATTCCCTCCGGACCGCAATCCTCTGGTAAGGTAGATCGGGTGAATGGTCTTACCAGAGATCACTTAGCCAAACTCTCCACTTATCTGCGTAAATCCTGGGTAGAGCTGCTCACACTGGCTTTAGAGCACCTCCGAGCCACTCCCTGTGGCCCCTTGTTCCTGACCCCGCCTTGAACGGATGTATGGCAGACCTCTTCTTACTAACCATGAACTCCCCGTCCAACCGACACATTGGCTAGATATTTTCCATACTTATCTTTGCTCAGACAGCTGCTCCAAGAATACGCAGACTGTTGTCTGCCACAACCTGTGCTTCTGTCCCCTGATGCACCTGTCAACCTGCTGTGCCCTGGAGACCAGGTTCTTCTGAAAGCCATCTCTCCAAAACCACTTCCGCCAAAGTGGATGGGTCCACACACGATCATCCTGACTACACCAACGGCTGTCAAGGTCTTGGGCAACAAATCCTGGCATCAGCTGTTCAGGGTCAAACTGGTCCCTGTGGACAAGCAGTATGTATGCGGGCACATGGGCCCAACTAGGGTACACATCACTGCGCCCCTGGTCCACATCCCACTCAGCCTATAAAGCAGAGGCCCTCTGATTCACCTTCCTCTGTTTTTGTTTTAATTTTTTTAAGATTTATTTATGCAAGCACTGGGTACAGTCAGAAGCACAGGAGGGTGAGAGAACTCACCAGAGACAAAGCGAAAAGCAGAACAGGCAGACTTGACGAAGCACATTGCTGAGGCGAGCAGTGGGTGGCAGGAGAGGTCTGCCCGCCTTGTGGGACCCTCACCTTGAGGCCAGGAATTGAACCGGTGCTGTAGAGGCTGCGGGCAGCTTGGCAATCCAGCGCTCAACCGTCCACCGCTGCACCACCTGAGAGGCTCCTCTCCTTCCTCTCTTTCTAATCCCATTTCTTCAAGCCACTTCCCTTTCTTCTGTCTATGCCTGACAATTTCAGATCAACACAGCCTCGGGCAAAGTATTACCACTCATAGGGCCTCTTATCCTAATCTCCTAATTTTATTCTTTTTGCCCCATGCTTACTCTGTTTCATCCCACACTGGATCCAAGAACTTTCCCATACCACCTTTAAGCAACTCCTTCTCCACCCATATCATCGTGTCCCTGCAAAGACTATCTCATAACCAGCCCTGAGCCCCCACACTGGTCTTCACCGCTGTCCAGCAGAAAGTAGCCAAATAAAGAACCATTGGCCCTTTTCAACAAAAGGCTGGCATGAAAGGTTGATGCAGGGACCAGGAATGGGGAAGCCCACATACAAACAACAAGATGGTCCTGACACCAGTACCCCTGATTCCATCAAACCGAAACTGAAGCCATAAGCAGGAGAAAACAATTTGGCTCCATGAAAAAACAACTTATTCCCTCTAAACCTGTTTCTCCCCCCCGCCAACCCAGTTTTCCTGCCTAACCTCTCCTCACCCTATAAAATGACATCTCCCCCCACAACGGCACAACTTCAGGGAACCCCCCTACTTGGGACCCCGAAGCTCGCCTGGGGGTGCAATGAATTTTCCCTTCCTTTGAGAAAGTTTAGCTTGGTTCCCCCTTTCTTTACTGAGCCAAACTGTTACAGGGCAACCCTGGTATAAAAAGGGTTGTCTGACTGTTTCCCGATTCTGGTGGAGTGTTTCGGATTCTGGAGGAGTTGCAAGGACATGGCCGGTTCTGAAATGGGAAGAGTTGGGGGTCCTGGAGGCCGGCATCCTGGTGGTGAGATGCTCTGTGAGGATTCAGAGAAGCAGGGCTCAGAGGAGAGGAGACTCGGGGGAATGCCCTGGGTGTGAGGTTTCCAGCTTTGCTCCCCAGAAT